GAAGTTTTTTTTGATTATCTCACTATAATAAAAAAAAAGCTACAGTTACCATCACCACTATTTCAGAAATTTTTTGACCTGCACGCTTCTCACTGTCATAACCCAAACACTGTTCGATGAAGCAATATGAGATTATGCACAATTCTAGAGAACTGAGTCTGATGTCAAAGCATAATTGAACATTCTGCTATCAAAGTGTTATTGATGCGCTTATTTTACGCCAAAGATATCCTTCTTACGCCACGTAATTCAGTATAGTAGAAACTATTACTGTAGCAAGGAAATTATAATTTTTTTTCAGCCATGTTCTCTTGTCCACGTACTCTTGTGTCTGTAAATTAGTAACTCATTTCACTTTGTTTAAATTTCGAACTCATTTTGAATTAATTAAATGGTTTATAGTGATAGTTTTTTTTAAATTTTTAGAAAAACTAAGCGCTGTAAAATAAAAGTTTTTACTATTTTGTACTCATGACTGAAATAACTGCTCGCCTTTTTATGAAATTTCGAATTAGTTTCGGAGTAATTAAATTCTAAAAATTTTGGTGTTTTCTATACAATCCTGATAACTTACCAGAGATGCGCATTTTTTTAAATTTATTTTTTTAAACATTGTTTGGACACAATGAATGTCAAATATTCTCCTTTATTTTTTTTTAAAGCATTTTTTAATGAGATGGTTTTTTTTCACCAAAATAATCTATTTCTATTCGACATTCGACGAGATTTGCTGATCACCAAATTATTTGTTATCTGGTTCGCGGGATAGTGAAAAATGATGCTTTCATCTCAGCAGGAAATCAATTTATCCCTCTTTTTTTAAAAAAAAATGTATTTATTTATAAAATGTCTCTTTAATAGTTTTACTTATTGTTTAGAATAATTAAGTTTAGAGTTGTTAAATCAATAATATATTGGTGGAAGGAAAAAGCTAATATGTTGTTAAAATACTAGCAACAAAATCTAATTCTTTTATTGATGAAAAAATAAATAACATCCTTACATATAAATTATTTCGTTAAGTTCATGACTTTTCCCCTTACTTTTTCGAATTTGACAAATAAATGTATTTTAAAAATATTTCAGAAGAATTTTTATTCAATATTTGGCAACGTTTGGTGAATTAAACATCGCATTTTTAGTGTTTCGAATAATCAAGAAACGAAAAATGGTTTCATTTAGGCCAGGGGTGGCGAACCTTTATACACCAACGTGCCATTTTCTCTAATAAACTGCTTAATGAGGTCATAGACGTGCCATAAAATAATTTTGACTTCGTGATTATTGGGAAAATAGTAATACTAAATACTATCAACTCAAAACTCTTTATTTACAGTGAGAAAAAATACATTTTGCAATATGTCAGTTATACGCGTAATTCAGCTTTCAGGTAACATTAGTGTGACTTCTGTAGTTGCAGATTCGATGACCAATAACTTATATTAGGTTGTAAGATGTTAGTTTAAGCAGGACTGTTATTTTTTTTTGCTAGTTATTTATTGTTAGCCTGTTTTTTATGGTTATTAACTGTTTTTTTAGCATTATTTTTTAATTTTTTTATTAATATTGTTTATTATTTTGTTTATTTTTTGTGAATTTTAATTTAATTGTTACATATGCTTCATAGTTTAACAACAATTGTGATCGGTGGAGTACCCAAAATATTGTGTAGCGTGCCATTGGTTCGCCATCCCTGATTTAGGCTATTACAAATCTATTTCCTTAGCTGTGACCAAGCTTGATTTTATAATAGATTAATTAGATTATAAAAAATATGCTTGTTTGTAGATATTATATTAGACATATCATACTTAACTGCCAACACTTGCATTTTATTTCTTTTTTGACTTCTTTTTTGACTTGTTTCTTTTTTGACTGATAGTGAAATGAAAATTGTTGCAATAGCTGTAGGTAGCAATTTCTTACATTTCATCAACACCTAAAACCACATCAACGATTATCAGAAAATTTGAAAATGTTTAAATTAATTATGTATAATGAAGGATCAAGAGCGCTTTAAATTATATTTATTAAATAAAGAATAAAATATCAAAGTATAAGTCTGGTACCACTTCAAATATAATATCTTCCAAGTGAAATAGAAAATGTTGGCAATTTATACTTTATACTTCTTTGGAGATGTTCTTGATGCTACTTTATTGCATGTAAAAAATTTTATTGTATTTTTTTTTTATAACCGTCATTGAACAGCTGATCCAATATTTTAGGTTTACGCCTACTAATGTTCAACTCCGTAACTTTGTAACTTTAAACCTACTCCAGCAGACAAGGGAACTCTTAGAATCAAGTGTAAAGGGAAATTTGCCTTCGTGGAAGACTTTTTGTTTAAACTAACCCGCATTTGCGTTACATGGAGAGGAAAACTACGAAAAACTCCCACGGTCAGCATGACGACAAGGGGGCTCTAACCCATGATCCGTCTACCACTGAGGATATTTTAAGTCAGCACTGTGGTCCGTGCAAGCCGGATGCGGAATTCGAATCGATCAGAGATCTCTGGGATTCAAATCCAGTTCATCTTAATGTAATTCGAACGCTCTATTCCCTGAGTCATCACGACTCACATGTAGGAATTATTGCTGGTGGTTATAATGCTTCGGTTACATTAAGAACTTCATTCGGCAAAATGGGAATTTCCCCTTACAAAAAATATACATTCGCTGCGCCCCTGAGAACTAAGAATTCATAATTGTGTTTTCACCTCATCTGATGCCCTAACACAACAACGAAAGCGGTACAATCTTATAATAATAAATATGTGGTGAGCACCTTATTGAAGCCACTTAGTTCCTGGTAGCTGTGGGCATACTTTAGCCTAGAGGGTTAATCTGTCAGTCTCATAACCGGCTGAACCCGTTCAAATTTCAGCGTTGGCACCACAATATTTCCTCCATTTCTTTAACACACGAGGAGTTTCCAATGCCATGCACTCCTGAATTGGTGATTCTGGACAGTTGGAATATGAAACTCTCATTCATGCATAGATTTTTCCATTACAGAGATCATCAATTTGAAAAAAAGTTTAGTTTTATCCATCTTTCACGATAGGTGACGCCGCGTGATAAACCAATTAGCTGTTAAATTAGGCTTGGCTGTTAAATTAAATGGGCATACAGCTGCTGTTTATTTTACTATAATTTTAGAATAAAAGTTATAACAGTATAATGCGCAACTGTTTATACTTAATAAGAAATGAAAACAAAATTATAAGACGACATCTTAGAAAAAAATATTTATAAAATTAAAACAATGTATTAAAATAAATACAAAACAAACTGCATTAATTTATATTAGTGATTACAAATTACAATATTTAAATTTATGTTCGATATTTTTTTAAAATGCAATTAATTATTATTAATATAGTGTTACATTTTTGAGCATATTATTTACATTTCGTAACTACTAAAAAATTTTAATATCGTTTCAATTAATTTTATTTTCTTCTATTAAACAACTTCCAGTTGGTTGGACTTTTATAGTTATATTCTGATTTGTTTCAAGTATAAATTTCTAGGTACAAATTGATAGAATACTTAATATTATTTTAATTTTTAACCAATAAGTTTCATTTCCATTCACAATATCCTTTTTTCATTAATGATATATTAAATCTAGCATTCAAATTTTTTATATGTTTCAATAGAATATGTAGTAGGCTATTTGATTTGATTATCACATAACTCTTGAGACCCTAGAACAGGACTTGGAAGAAATTGCACTAAATGCATAAAAATATGAAAAGGTGATGCATAATTGCACATTTTGAGAATGTTATTCCTTTACATTTTAAGGGAATTAAGGAATTGTGCTGTTAAATTATAAATAAATTACAATATGATGAATCTGATTTTCTCATAATCTACGTGATAAGAGTTAAAAAAGAACTAAGTCGGTAAATTTTTTTTTGACACTGTGTGTAAAGCGATCATATATCTTATTTCAAGCCCATAATAAATTTATTTATGCTGTTCTTGTATTAAAACTATATTTTGTGACAATTAGGATTGAGTACTTTTTTCAAAAAGCAACTATATTTTTGAAATTTAAAATGGAGTATAATTTCTATAAAAGAATTTCCTAATATTTATTTAAGAAAGTAAATATTAAAAAAAAAATCTAGGATGAAAAAACTTTAAAAATCAATACATGAAAGTTACTTAATAATTATTGTTTAAAAATACATTTAGGGACAGAAAAAAAAATCGAATTTGCATATTATCACCCTTTGAAATAGGTTTGAACATCAATCTTAACCTTGACAGGAAGTGGTTATAAAAAAGGAATTTTACCTTGGTATTTTTTTTCAATTTTAAGAAAATAAAACATCAAAATTCAAAGTGATCATGATTTCATAATATACCCGGAATACATTACAGAATTCGTCATGTTAGACGAAAGTTTTTAACTTTCATATACATTTTCATTTAGTATACATTTTCTAAAAAAAATGAAATAAAAAAAGCGTGTGCCCTTTCAAATTTTTTTCTTTTGCGCAACGTCTATGATCGCAATGACAGAAAACACATTTATCTAACACTGGTTCTGGGTTTAGATCATCCCCTCTTTCTTCTTTTGTTCATTTGTTGGTCAAGTCGTGAATGTGTTACGATGCTGTTTATTTTCCACTATACTTTTTGGTTTTTCAGGAAGTCCAAAAAATATTTTGAAATTTTCGCAATGCTTACTTTATACACTATGTTGAATGCAGTTGTAAGGTTCATATAGCTTACAAACTCAAAAAACTAAGATTACTTCCTACTCTTATTTTATTAATTAATAAGATTTTACTTCCTACTCTTATTTCGAAAATATGCTGTATTGCCATAGATTAAGAATTCTTTTATGGCGCCATCTGTAGGTCATTTTTGAGAACAAATAATGTGAATTCCGAGTGAAGGCTTCAACTAAAGTTAAAGTTTATTTTAATTTCATGCTCATGTTTTCTTCTTTTAGAAGGATTTATACATATTTGGATGGCAACAGCGAAGAGATTTCATAGAGTAGACTTTGGGACCTGTCAATATTTCTTCTGTTATTTCAACAAACAAAGATAATTTATCAGTATTTCTTTGTTTCTGTTTGTCTATATTTATTTTGAAATTTTAAAATTTGTCTTTTAAGTGTGCTAATATGATCTTTGCTTGATTGTGGCGGAAATTTAAAATTTTCTAGTACCAAGAAACATAAATAAATAAATAAAATGACTGTAATGGAGTTTTTTGGCTGCGCTATGATAGCGTTTGGACCATGTGCTGCTATGCTAGCTATAACTATAGCACGGGATCCTATACGAATAATTATATTAATATCAGCGTATGTATTACTTGAACTAATGTACTCATTTCCAGTATATTTTTGAAGCATTGTCCTGCATGTGTCACAGATAATTATCTCAAGATTGTTTTTAAAGTTGGCTTTATATTCGAAATCTAGCTCATAAATATGTACAAATCAAACATCACCTATTTAATTTTATTATTGTTACTTCGTGATTTTAATTTTGATATATATCTGTTACGAATTTAGATTATTATTATTGGCAGAGTTACTACATAAAAATTTGTATTTCCTCACCCTAGTTCTATTTACATTGGTTGTAATCTTCAATGACATTCAATATCATTACTTTTTGTTTGACTTAATAATAGGTGCTTACATGAAATTTTCATATAAATTATGATTTTTTCAATTTGTGAATAAAAGTTCAGTGAAAAGCTTGGGAACGATTTCCGTATCCATAGGTGTGTCAAAATTATAACCCAGTTTTAATGACTTCCAAGCAATAGTCCACGTAATACATAAAAATTTGTTATATTTCTTTTTAACTACCACAGCCAAGGTGCCAAATAGATTTTAAACTTGCAATTTTAAAAATAAAAAAAACGTCTTGATGTTTGCCATGTGATGCCTATGAGTTGTACCTTTCGAGTTGGTCCTTTTTATGATGTTTTTTTTTATTGTCTCACAATCCGCTGGCTGGAAATTGACAAAACTCGGCGATCATTCTGCCACAGATCACGATATGGAAATCTCCCCTAAAAATACATCAGGTAGTTGATCAGTTTGAAGGGTTATAACTCATTACAGCCTTTAGGCAAATTTCTCCTGATATATTTTTAAAATTTCTACAAGTTTAAAATCCACTTGGCAATTGTTGTATGTGTTAATAGGTATTTCTTGAGAAATCTGTCTGTATATTCTTAATTGGTTAAATAAATGTATTTTAAATTATAGTTTTATTGAATTAAAATAATTGAGATAAATCAGTATGAATATCAATTATTAATTACTCTTCATCTCTAGTAATAGACTTTGATTACTCTCCTTTTCTGTCCCCAATGCTGAACATTCACTTCTAACTTATTTTAATTTTTTTTTAAAAAGGGATAAAAGATGCGCAACATTTCGGCCCATTTAATTATTAAATAATAAAAATTTGTGCAATGAGTGCCTTTCTTCTCTTAGGATGGAAATCCACCTTTGAGAAACAAAATCGTCTGACAGAGTTCCTTATCAGCCAAAGTATATATTTTGTTTTATATTTAATTCTAATCCTTGCAGACTGTCTAGAGTTGACTGAAATCAATTGCAAAAATACAGGGATGAGATTCTTCCGCAGATTCGCGAATTTCCGCTTTTTTTCAAATTTTTCCATTTTTCTCGCTAATTTCCGCTGAAATTTTTTTTTGCTCAAGTTAAAATATTTTATGAGGAATTTAATTTTCCGCGGATTGAAATAATTGAAGTTCTCATTCCTCCCCCTGAAGTTTCTCTAAAAATCAACTCCTTGGGATAAAAATGGTTGACCTTTATACAGGGATGAGATTTTTTTCCCCTTTTACGAGCTTTTAAAACCTAATGTAGCTACGCGAGCTGAATATCCAATGTCGTGATTCGTTTTTGTGGTTGTAATATCGCACGATTTTTAAATTATGCATTGTGATCCAAAAATTATTAAATCTAAATTTGTATTTTCGTATTTTTTAAATTCAATGTAAAGTTTTCATATTCTCGTGGTTTAAAAGCCTCATATCGGGATTTATAATCACATGGTTTACAAGTTAAAAAATCACACTTTTTTTGTCAAATTTTCGTATATATATATATATATACTCTAGGATTTCCTCTTTTTTACTTTCTGACTACTCTCATCCCTGAAAATAACTGCTTAAATCTTTTCCAGTGAAGTCATTTTTCATTAATTAATAGATATACTTAAAGCACTTGGATGCTCTGTTATAAGTGTCTTAGGTCTTACTTCCAAAATTGAGAATATATGTTTATAAGTTAAGAATATTGAGGAAACACTCCTTTAATATTATATAATAAGAATAATATTAATAAAAATTATAATGAAAAGAGAAGAAGAAAAATAAAATATTTAATTTTTTTTATTTAAGAAAAAATCACTCCTTTTTGTGGATAGTGTGAGCTGATTTCCGGCTTTTTACTAATTTTCTTTTTTTTATATTAATAAAGAATTTTTTTTAAATATTTTAATAAAATTTTTTTTTCTTCTCTTTTTCATTAATCTTTATTCCATGTTTCCTTTATATTATTAACTTATTCTATGAGTTATTTATACATGCAAACTTATAAACATATATTTATACATATACAGTACAGAACCCGTTAACCGGAAATCAGAAAACCAAAAAACCGGAACGAAATTCAATAAATATTCCCGTTATTTTAAAAAAAAAATTTTTTTTTCCTCATAAGATTTTAGGATTTTTCTTTCTTTTTTGAAAGATGTTTACCTTACCATCATTTTGGAAATAATCATTAGTGTATTACTTCATCGTTTTTTCTTCTTTTTCAGATTATTTCCAAAAAAAATTTTTTTTAGTTGTGTTTAACAATAAAAAAACGGCTTTTTGTAGCGATTCAGAAAACCGGAAAAATCAGTTATCCGGAATAGCGATGGTCCCGATCGTTCCGGATAATCGGTTCCCTATTGTATATATATAAATTTTTTATATATATCACACATATATATAATATATCACATACATTTCTTATATATATATATATATGAATATTCACATATTCAGTCATGCTGCAAGCTTCTAAAAGAATAAATAACATTATTTAGGTTATTTAATATTATAAAAGCTAAGATATTGTAAAAATATGTTAGAGAAGGGAGACTAATTTGGTAACTATTTACTGTATGTGTAGAAACTATTTTATGTACGTGTAGAAACTATTTTATGTACGTGTAGAAACTATTTTGGAGACTTTATTATATTTGAAGCATTTAAAGGGACTATTTTTAGAGTTGACCTACAGTGGTAGCCTTGGTTCTGAATTGCTTCAGAGTTTTCTCTCACTAAGACAAATTATAATGAAAAATTTCATAGAATATAGATGCCATGTCTTTTTGTTTTTCAAAAAAAAAAGTTATTGAAATTCCAGAAAAATGTTCTAAAAATTCCAGAAAAATGTTCTAAAAATTCTATTTTTTGTGTATGTTAACTATTAGTATTTCCTATTGTTCTAATTTTAAAAGAAAGTTATTGTTAATTTTTTTAGCAAAAGTTATTTCAGTTTACTTAATATATTTTCCTCAACCTAGTCTGTAGCACTGTATCAGTTAAAGAAGTAATTTTACTATTTAATCATTATGCCTTTTCTATTCCAGAGCGTTCTTTTGGCTACTATCATTGTTACTATCGTCAATTTTATGGAATGTAGTTACACCTTTAAAGAGAAATCTTTCTTTTGGCTTAGTCTTCTCAGTGATATTTCAAGAAACATTTAGATTATTTTTTTACAAACTTCTTAGGTAATTTTTCATACTCTTGTTCTCTTTGTTTTATAAAATTTTTTTTGTGTCTTTTTAATATACAACTTCCAAATGTGCCTTTTGTATTTAAAGATTTTTAACTTGTTAACCCTTAATGATCAATGCTGCCATTTAAGCACCATGGCGCTTTTACTTACTGAGTCTAATTCTAATGATGCAAAAGTCCTTTTATTATTTACATCAACCTAATTGTTGTCATACTAACAATTGATTTAATTATTACAATTATACCTATTGGAAAGTTAACTGGAAATTCTTATGGACCATTAAGGATTTATTTATTTTGTAAGTGAGCTTGGGTTAAATGTAAATCCTCATTGTGTTCTGGAAAAAAATTTCCTATCTTTCCCCCTTCCCCCTTAGTTAAAATTTTTTATTGCAAAAAAAGAACATCCTTGTATGCAAAACAATAATCTGCCCTGAAACTTTTTATTTTATAATCATTGTTGAACAGCCGACCCAAACTTCAGATTTTGGGTACTAATGTTCAACTCCGTAGCCTTGTAATTTTCAACCTAATCCAGAAGACAAGGGAACTCCTGGATCAAGTATTGGTAGAAATTTGACTTTGAGGAGAACTTTTTGATGAAACTAACCCGCATTTGTGTTACACCGAGAACCACAGAACCTCATAAACCACGAAAACCTCCCATGGTTTGCCTGATGGCAAGGGGATTCTAACCTATGATCCGTCTTCCATTGAGGATATTTTACATCAGCACTGTGGTTGGTGCGAGCCGGGTGCAGAATCGTATTGACCAGCCATCGCTGGGATTCAAACTTGTTGGAAGGCGAACGGTCTGTCTTTTGGAACCATCATGGCTCCTGCTCCTAAACTTTGAAAACTTTACATATTGTTCAAATTTAAATATTTAATGGTTGAAATATGTATTAATGTGTTTTGTGTGTCTAATTAAAAAGGCCAGGTATTATTTTTTTGAAAACTGAATAAGCTTTCTTATATTCAAATTGTTCTTGTATTAAGTGTGTTGGTTTGCTATGAATTTACAGTGTAACTGCCAACTATACTGGATTTTCTAGTGAACTATCGAGGCTCTTGGTGTCCTTATACTATTAAAAATTTACTAGTTAAATTAATATAATTAGGAAAGCTCTAATTCCTAGAATTAAAAAAGTTCTCAAAAAAATTTCATCCACCCTATTTTTGCTTAACAATAAAGAAAAAGTTCCAAATATTTATATGAGCATAATAGAAATTAAGATTAAAAACGAAGTAAAATAAATCCTACTTTTTATAGTAATGACCTGAATTTTCATTATAAAAGTAAAATTATATTAAATAAAAAATTATAATTATTACTATTGAATTTATCGCTCTATTTGTAAATGTTTTCTATTTTACTATAATAAAAAAATTTTTTTTGGTACCTTAATTATAAAATGAAATTCTAAAAATTTCTTTGACGGAGAATATAATAATTTTTGTATCACAGTTAATATTAAATTTTTTAATTTTGCCTTTAAATGAATGATATCTTTTTCAGTAATTAAATATAATTTACAGGAAAGCTGAAGTTGGATTAAAAAAAGTACAAGAAGTTGGTGCAGATGGTGCTGTGGTATCCAGTAATCGGAGCACTTTAGCTTATGGTAAATTTTAAATTACACAAACCTAAAAATTGTTTTTACTGTTCTTTAAAATTAATTTTCATTGTTAAGTTTATTTCAAATTATAATTTTTATATAACGATGTAAAAATTGGTATTGTTGACTTATGACATATAATTTTCTGCAGTTACTTTTAATTTTGGAACACTTAAAATTAAACACTGATAGTTTTAAAGTTCTATACTGATCAATATAGGGCTTTTAAATAACAGAATGCATCCACATGAAGTACTGAGACATAATTGTGTAATTTACTTTCATAGAAAGGCTAAGTTTGTTTGTGTAGTGGCACTGCATTATTTAGTTAGGTTAGTACTTATACTGAAATTGTTTTGAATAACTATAATTTAGAGCAAGGTTTTATATAGCGGGATCCCTAGGGTGTCTCCTGACCTAACTAGATAATCTGGGGCAAGCTTTGAAAAATGTTTCATAATATCAAAAATAATAGTAAAATCAGACTTCAGAATTTAAAAAGTAACAGGACTGATAGCGAAAGTGAATAGATCAAAATGATTAAGGTAAGTTGGACAAGCATACATCACAAACAAAGAGTTTCATAACTTTTTCTTAATATCTGCTCTCATCAAAACTAATAACTAATTAATTAAAACTAAACTACTAAACTCAGTCCCTAGGCCTACCGTGCCCATCTCAGTTTTCTTGAGCTCTGGGGTGCACATCAGATGTTCCAATTGGATGGACATCCGAATGCCGAACCCCCAGTGTTTAGCTCCCAAGCATGCTTGGTACTCATTATGTCCACCCACCAAAGGGAAGAAAGGCTGAGTCAACTTTGCCCTGTCTGAGGATTGAACCCAGGACCTGTGGCATGAAATCGAGAAACACCGTCACTCAGCCAATAACTAATTAGCCTATCTAAATGTTGAACCTAACACCTGTCTGCAATCTCCAAAAATTGAACCTAAAATGTCAATTTTGTGACAGCATAAATACCTCACATCAAGATAGCCTATTTATCATTAATTTGACAAAATTAATGTTCAAATTATTGTGAGAAATATTTTAATATTTATAGATTATTTGAAGTTTAAAATAAAAAACATTCTTATATTTATTTATTTTTTAGTGGCTGGTTTAGGTTTTGGTTTAATGAGTGGTTTATTTTCCCTCATCAATGTTTTGGCTGATTCAGTTGGGCCTGGGACAGTTGGATTGAATGGTGATTCTCACTACTTTTTTATAACATCAGGTAATAAAAGATTTTTATTTCACAATCAAGTGAACTTTATTATATCATTATGTGTGATATTGTGTTATGTATACATAAGATCTCCGTCGGACGGTATATCTCGGTAGTATACTTTCAACTCATATTCTTGTTTTATAATTTCTGTTTTTGAAATGCTGCTAATAAATTTTCACGACATTGGTAGGTAAATGTTTGTTACTTTCTAATTTTTATTTTTATAATTTGAGATTTTAGTTTTATTATAGGTATTAGATATTCCTCACATCTTTTTATTCATTTTCTATAAACTCAATTAATCTTACAATCTCTAAAGCAAACCGAAGTTGATTAGTTTATTGGATTTTATTTCTAATGCTCTTAATAATTTTAATTTTTTCTGGAAAATATTTTTGAGTTGTTAAGTATTTGTGTTTAAAAATTATTTAAAAACATTAATATTGGTCTGTTTCACTTATATATTGTGCGATGTTTAGCGGGTAAGCTTAATGTTTTGTGAAATTTATGTAATTTTAAGTTCCATATTACGCAAATCATTACATTTCAAGGTTGGTATTATAAAGATCTCGGGGTTAAGGTTTTGGACATCCTAAACTGGATTTGGACAAAACACGTTCGTTTTACTGTTTTAAATAGTTCTAAACTGTCTTAAATATTTTAAAACCTTGAACATTGGTAATAGGTCAAAATTCTATATGTGTAACCATTGTATACAGAATAATTACATAAATTAATAAATGATACTTTTTATAGAATTTACTTTAACCTATTAAAGGAATATAATATAATAGGGAAAGATTAATAACTTTTGAAGCTGCACAATTCATTGAATAGCAAAATTGAATACCTTATTCTTTAAATATGCTTTTAATACCGATAATTATGTTTTTGCATAAGGATAATTAATGCAATATTAAAAATAATAAGCTATTTTTAATAAAACAAAAAATTTTCTTCATTTTTCACAAAAGCTTTTCTTGTTCAAAAATTAAACTTTTATTTTTCACAATATTTTTTTAAAATTGTGACGTAATTTGAATAAAAGGGTTTTGGATAGTTTACTACTGTTCTGGACAGTACGGTTTAAACCGTGGATAATCCATTCTGTTCTAAACCTTGCCAACTCTGGATCTCCCATAGTTCTATTTAGGTCGTGTATGCATTTTAATTAATTGGTAGCTTGTTTACTATAGTTTAATTCTGAGTAGATTTTCAAAGGGAAAATAAGTTTACTGTTAAATTACTTAGATAAATTAACTTAGAAAACTAAGTTTTATATATAGGTAAAAAAAACTGCAAATAAGGACTTCTTTTAGTGTAAAGTTGATGATAAAGTTGATGAATGTTAAATAATTGAAAAATCTTCATCAAGGAAATTTGTCAACATGTATCTTGACAATAGAAATGACTATGCTATGAAATGTTCTGTTTTAACTAACTGATCCGTTACATTACATAAAAATATCTTTTCTCCTATTGCTTTTTTACTCAAAAAAGCCATTTTTCCTTTTTATTATTTATAATCAAGTTGTGTATCAGGAAGAAATTTCTGGGACCAAATAGCCCAAATCTCTTGAACCACTACAAAGGAGTTTAAATTCCAGCAGAGTATTTCTTATTTTTGGATTGTGTTCCATAAATCTTGGCTTTGCTGCACTGGCTTAAATTTTTTTGTGTCATTAAAAAAAGTAGAGTAATTAAAAGAAATAATTAGAAATATTAAATGTATTTGAGCTAGAATCTGAATGATACAAATTGGAAACTTTTGGGATTTTATAATACTGGTCATAACAAAATAGCATTTTTTTAACAAAATATTTCATTTAAATGTTTGTTTTTTTTGTTGGAAAATATGATGATTTTGCTAAATGATAATAATTAAAATAGTTCACATTTTTTTCTGTCACTTTCTGCTTCTTCAGTATTTTCATGAAAATAGTATTGTCAATCTAAAATGTAAATGTTTTTACCTGTTTTATATCTCACTCCTTCCCCAAGAAATACTTTCCTTGAAAAAAATCTTATCTATATTTATATCTCTTAATTACATATTTATTATTTTTATAAGTTTACCAATTAAATTTTCCGAAATGTTTGAGGAGGATTCTTTTCATTGTAAAGCTTGAGTCGTCCAGTTCTCCCATCCAGATTTTTTTACTGGATTGTGAAGTAGCAGTGAATTGTAGCTTCTGTTCAAGATTTTATTTTCACTAAAAGAAAAATACTTTTGAATGGTGCTAATAAGGTTTTGCTATTGGACGATTTCTTAGTAAAGGGTGATCATAAAAATATTTCAATTGATTTATTAATCCCTATTGACCTATTCATGTAATCAATCAAAATAAAAAAAACAAACTTCAGATTGTTTTGTTAGAAGATACAGGCTTCAGATGATGATGATTTCTAACAATAAAGCTCTTCTATCTTTAGTTAGAGTGAACAAAGTTTGCAGTTAGTGTGATTTTTTTTAATGGCAACATCCACTTTTTTCTTATATCCCCATTGTCAAATATGATCCTCATTATAAAAAACATAAAATGGAGTTGAAATAATGTGTTTTGCATTAAAAATGGTAGGCTGAACCCTGTCAGCTATTAAGTTCTATTGAATACACTATGGCAATGAGATAAAAAATGGAAGCATGTACATTTGTATTGTGCTTCTAATTCTTATTGTCATTTTTGATGGTAAAAATAACTTCCAACTCCATTTTAAGTTTGTTGTTAATCTGAGTATTAGGTTTAGATGAACTGCAAAAAAGAGTTTTGCCTTTTCAAAATTCCGAAATTTGTTCACGATGTCTCTAAGAACTATATCATTATAAATCATCTTGATCTCGAGTCCATACTTTTCTTTAGTTAATATAATCTAAAAATTTATTTCAATTGGCTTCGAACGATTCATGTACGGGGCAATTTATTTTATGACCACCATGTATGCTTTAGAGTATTTATTCACTTTTTTTTATTAACTTTTTTTTTATAAAAATTATATTTTTCTTGCAGCATTTACTACTCTTGCTTTTACTTTGCTCCATACATTTTGGGGAGTGATTTTTTTCCATGCTCTGGATAACAATAGTTACTTAAAGATTGCCTTTGTCTGCTTGTCTCATCTCATAGTATCTTCTTTGGTATGTTTATTTTATTTAATTATCAACTGTCTTAAAGTTTATTTTTATCTCATAAGTTCCACTTCTCTAATAAAGTTTGCCATTTGTAGCATCTGAACATGGCCAATATTCTATATTACGATATATTCCAGTTTTCATGAAACTAAAAAAACGATATTGTACGGATAAATGAATTCATGTTTATGTATTTGAATGAGTGTCATTGTTTTGCTATCACTAGAATTCCTCCAGACTGAGGTCTCATGTTTTCAGTTTCTATGGAAACAAGACCAAAGCTTTTTCTTTCAGGGAAACTTTTATACAGAAAAGTATTGACAGGTTTTCCTGTTTTTAAACTTTATAATGGCCAAAGAACATCACTTACTCCATTTATATTCTGCCCAGCTAAGTCTATAATATTCTATTTTTTTTCTCACCCTATGAAAAGATTAAATTAAAGGTAAAGTCTATCCATAGTGGAGAAAAAAAAATCATGATTTATTTTATTCTACCAAGTGTAAAGATTTTGAAGTGCTAAATTGAATTATTTACTAATCATTCTGTTATTAAATTATAGATCATTATATGTAAATGGATGTGCAAAAATTAATCATAAAATAGTTCAAAAGATATAAAATCTGATATAGATTTTTTAAAAAGAAACTTGTGAATATTAAAGTTTTTTTTTTAAAGACAATGGAATTGAGCAATTCCTTGGTCTTAGATGTAAAAAATGAACATAACTATCTCAGTAACAACATCTCAAAAAATTTAAGTTAAATTTGAAATGATCAAATATTTAGTACATCATGATCAATAAAAAAAAACACTGTTTTATAAAAACTAATGTTAAGTTAAAATTAAATAGACTAAATTGTTTGTGTTGGACGTGAATCACACAAAAGCAAAAAATAATTACTCATTTACAAATTGTCTAAACTCTGAATTTGTTTGTAATTTAATGTAAATTTGATTGAATTTAAAAGCTGTCATTTTAATAAAACATTCTAGGCTGTTCTTAATTTGTAAAATATGATGTAAAATTAACTTGCATTTTTTTTACTTAGGTGTCAGACATTAATTCTTCAGGATGAATATATATTTGTTAATGATAACAATTATAAATACTGAAACTTATAAATTATACAATAATAAAATAAGAATTTTGTTTTTCATTAAGTAGCTTCTTTAAATTTAAATTGTTCTCTGTTTCCGCTTCGAACGGGGAGATCAGTGTCTTTTGTCACATTTATGACCTTGCCATTGTGAGTTAAAAATCACTCATTTTAATTATAATAATGTAAATATGGCATTAAAAATTAATGACAATGTAAGTACAACTCATACTTAATTCTTATATCTAATGGTAAATTTATTGCTCTATTTATCGTTTGCATAAAACTAAATAACTTTTTGTACAGTTTCTATAATTGATTGGGTTTGATGTATCAAAACAGATGATACTAATCAATATACCTTTTACTTGTATCCACAAGGTTTCATACATACATTTGAATATGTATGGTAATCCTTTAGCAAGCATTTGTGCGTACCTAAGCACATACATGTTCTTAAACTTAAGAGCAGTTTCTAAATAAAGGTTTGAGTTGCTTATCTTGAAAAACAAAATAAAAAATAACTACAGAATATTCTTTAAGAAAAAGTTTTGCTCAAAAATTGACACAAAATCTCTGTTCAGGCAAAATGCAATTTTATATAGATGGTTTTTAGGGGTTGCTTATTTATTTTATTATTTTCAGCAATGCAGTAATAAATATTGAGGGTAGACTTTTCGTGGTTTCAAAATTATTGATTCTTCTCTTTTATCTGATTTTTAAAATGATCTATTTTAATCAACAATATGGTAATATATTATAGAATGTTTAAATGGTGAATTGTAGTATCATCCACTAAATAAAAAAGGTGTTAAAAGGCATATTTACCATGTTGTCATTTCAAGGTTATTGAAACCTAAATCTAAAATTATTTGATTATGGAACTCTTGAACTGGATGAAATATTAAGGTGAGGGAATATTAAGTAATTGGAAAGTTAGTTTTTTTTAACATAAAAGTACTAAAATATTCTATATATTAATCTTAAGCTATTACAAGTTGATCAGTGCACTTGATCAGTGCACAGTTGACAAGTTGATCTGTTTTGAAAACTAACTTTGAAATTTAAAGTAGTATATTTTATTATTCTTCTGTTATAAAATTTGCCTTTGTAAAATTGGCATGACAAGTGTTCCAATTTCTGTGGGGAAAACAAGTAAAACCTGGAATTTTTAGGGAATTTTATTTTGACTCTAAGAAAACAGGGAACAGTCAGGGAAAGTTGCATCAACTACATATTAATACAGTACAAAACCCGTTATCCGGAAATCAGAAAACCAAAAAACCGGAACGAAATTCGATAAATTTTCCCGCCATTTTTTAAAAATAAAACATTTTTTTCCTCATAAGATTTCAGGATTTTTCGCTCTTTTTTGAAATTTTTTTTACCTTACCATCATTTTGGAAATAATCATTAGTGTATTACTTCGTTTTTTCTTCTTTTTAAGATTATTTCCAAATATTTTTTTTAAGTTCAGTTTAACAATAGAAAAACGGCTTTTTGTAGCGATTCAGAAAACAGGAAAAATCAGTTATCCGGAATAGCGATGGTCCCGATAATTCCGGATAATCAGTTCTCTACCAGTACAGAACCCGTAGTTGGGTTTGACAATAATAAAAAAAACGGCTTTTTGTAGCGATTCAGAAAACCAGAAAAATCAGTTATCCGGAATAGCTATGGTCCTGATCATTCCGGATAATCGGTTCCCTACTGTACTAAAATCTGGAAATTTCTACATTATACCTGAAAAATAACCAGTAACAGTAGTCAATTATTGAGTTTCGATTTACACTATTATAACATCTATTACAATTATTTGTTATAAAAAATTCACATTTTAGTGAAACTTTTCCATGTTTCCATCCTCATTCAATGATATTTTTTTGCTCACAAAAAAGATATAAGTTTTTCAACGAAAAATTGCATGGTATAGATAAAATATGATCTGGATTTACATTGAAATTCTTCTGAAATGTCTAGATTTTATTCTTAAAATTAAGTGGGAACTCTGTGAGAAGCAGCTGAAATATTGCTGTATCTTTCCAGCTAATTATCATTTATTTCTTTGGGAAACTTACTTTTCGGAAGACCTTTGTCAGCCCTTTCTGCATAATTGCAGAAAGGGTTGATAAAGACATCTGAAAGGTAATTAACAACAAGCAATAAAAATGTGTCTTTTTTTTCTATAAATTCTTCAGTATAAATTCTTTTATGAAGCTTTCTAAGTATTTATCTTTCTTTTTCTGGTGCAGAGTTAAAATTTAGTAATATTTTGTGATCAAAATTCTCACTCTAGTTGAAGAAACAATTGCGATAAGTCGAAGCGGTTTGGCTGTTTGAATTTATTTCGAAAAGCATGCTTTAATTATTTTTCCTATGTTTTGATTTAAAACTATTTTTATATTTCAGACTTTGCTGAACCCTCTGCGTCTTTATCTTGTTTCGATCATTCCAGCTTACGTCATTACCATCGTGAGTGCAATTTTAGCCTACCAGTCAGCAGGTGGAAGTTGGCAGAGCCTAATGACCTCATTATCTGCCCGCAATAACAATTGATGTTTATCCTCTCTTTATTTATGATAATGTTCGAGCCAAACTTAAAAAATTTCCAATGTGACATTGGGATTAATCATCACTAAGCTCATATTTTCTAGTGTTTCATTTAGGTCAGAAACTTATTTTTTAAAAGATAAAATGGAAGTGAGACATCAAACCGATGATTCATAGAAGAATGGAGTCTCCCATTCACAATTTTTGTATTCCTGCCACATTTGCAAGTTTGCGCTGAGCTGGGCTCAAAGGCTGACATTGTAAAAGTGTCTTGTGTGACTGTTTTACTTTTTGTGTGCAGAGTTGTAGCTTTTAGGTGTTGAGCACCATAAGATAAGATAAAATGCTTGTTTCAGAGTGGTCTGAATTGACTCCAATGTGTTAATTTGATATATAAATGCATACTTAGTAGACCTTTGACATTTGCTTAGAAATCAGGGTTGAGTTGGCATTTTAATGTCCTAAATTGAGGAAAAGTTATCAAAATTTATAACAAGTGAAATTCAGCAATTATTGTATTTTTAACACGTTGAATGCCACAATAATATTACATGGATTGCCGTATGTGTTGCATTAATTTCTTCAAACCATTTTAGTAACGATAGTAATATAAAAAAATTAAAAGCATTAAAAATTCACACAAATTACTTGTTTCTAATAATCTTGGCCTCGCTGGTGACTCCCGTGGCGCTACGAACAAACTCAGTGCCGGTCACCGGTGACCCCCATGGCATTCAACATGTTAATATTATATATTTAATACATAAGTTAAAAACAACATAATTAAATGCTACAAAGGCACAGTGGTAATAACCTTGAGCTGTTGTTGAATTTGCCTTTGCTGGAGTGCTTAACTCTCTTAATGAATATTACATCTAGTTTTGAGCAATTAAATCCAAACTAGCTATCTCTCTTTTTTTTTTTCATTGTGTATCAAAGATGGCTCTTGGAATGAAACTGCTTAAAGTTTTTATTTAGATAAGACAACATATTTTTTTAAAAAAATAATAATAAATTGTATCAAAGATTAATAAATTTGCAATAAATGTCTAAGTACATTATGTGTAATATTAATAAATCTGTAGTTAGATTAATACATAATTTTGAACGAAAATCAAATAATAATTGACTGACTGCACACATTAAAATAAAATAGCTTGTAACATTTAATAACTGAAATATTATACTAATTATTTTAAATTATAAAAANAATATTAATAAATCCGTAATTTTGAACGAAAATCAAATAATAATTGACTGACTGCACACATTAAAATAAAATAGCTTGTAACTTTTAATAACTGAAATATACTAATTTTAGACTTTACAATTTGGACAGTTTTCTCGTTTTTAAAGTTACTAAAGAATTTTTATTCAATGGTGTTAGCGATTAACATGTAAAATCTACAAAATGTCATAGGTGTACAAATAAGTATTCAATTACATATCTTTATTGGTTTGCACTGAAATAATTATATTTTAACCGAATTTCGTTGGTAACAGTTTTTTTTAGTATATAGTATAATTAGAATTTTTATTATACTATGGAGAACATACAAGATTTATTCCATTTTAATGTATGATCGATTATGTATTTTTTTTTTTTTTTTGAAGTATTCAGTGTTGTATTTGTTTTTCATTCAATCTAATGACCAAAAAAAATTATGTCAAGAGGAAAAAATAGTTTATAATTATTGAATCTTATTATTAGTTTTAAGGTTTTTACCTAAATTAAGTTTAAAAAAAATTTTGCTACATTAATTCAAAAATGTCATTTTTTATTTTTTGCAAATGTTTAAAACTCATAATTTATTAGACATGACAATCGCAAAAAGATTGAACAAAATTCAACATTTTAGATTTTTTAAATTTTTTTTTTGAGATAGAAAAAATTTTGTTTTTAAATTAACTGAGTGCTTCATCTGTAAATAGATTAATTTTTTTTGCAGCTAAAAAAAAGTTGTTGCTTATATGTTTAAAAAAGTTACCAATATTTTTTAAGTCCATAAAATTAAATGTAATGTTTAAAAATATGAGTATAAGTGGACAATCATTAGAATGTAATTGGGACTTAGATTCATACTGTACTTTTATATAAAGTGTATTAGTATATCATAAAGGAATTTAGAATAAAGTAATTTAAAAATTACATTTAGGTAAATGTAAGTTTTACTGTTTAATTCTGCATGCAAACAAAAAAGAAATGACAAATAGTAATGCACATAGCTGTAATGATAAAAATAACTTCAAGTTGAAATTAAAAAAATTCAGAGATATTATTTAACAGTTCCGGCGTATAGTAATGAAGAGCTTAATAATTAATTTAATAAGTAATTGGTAATCTGGAAATAATAATGACTAGCATTTTATATTTTGTAATGCATGTATCTATTATATTTACTTAGTTACAAAATTTTTAACAAAAATATTCATGTCTTCAAAATTGATTCTATTAAAAGATATGGAATGTTTAGTTATTAAAGTTGTATTAAAATGTTTTTCTTCTATGAACCAAAAAGTTATTAAATTTTTTTTTTCTTCAATGCTACAAACAAAATTACTCTTGAATAATTTCTTCTATATATTAGAAAATTTGTAATTCATTGCAATCAAATTTAGATTGGGATTACTTAAATTTTTTAAAACTACCTGAAATTAAATATTGAATATTTTATTTTAACACATAAAAACGAGGTATAGAAAATCATATAGCAGTGACGTACAAAGACTTAGAATTTATAAATCTTACGGGGAGGGGAGAACCTATATTTACCTCAAGAAATTTAAATAATTATAAGAAATACTATAATGAAGAGATATTTGTAATCATTAATAATTTAAGATAAGAAAAATCTCATTTGTAATAAAAAGGTACTGAATTCAAACATTGTACACTTACTACATTAAAATTTAACTTTTTTCATTAAAATGAGAAAAATAAGTAACCATTAATTACAATAACAATTATCACTGTTTGTATAAAGGTTATTATTTAAAAAATGTTTTTAAGATAACTCAATATTTTTTTTTCTTAAAGTGTGTACCCTCAAACCTTGTGTGCCGTTCCGTTCTACACACCAACATTTAACCCCACGCCTACACCCCTAAGGAGACACCCTTCATTCTACAGGGTTTATTTATGCCACTGCCATAAAAGTATTTGAAAATGTTTGTTTCTCTGACAATATTAGAGTTATTTTTGTCATTCTTTAAATTTCATTATACCTCAAAGGAGTAAATTTGTATTATTCGATAAGTATTTCTGCAAGCTTGTTTACATTATTTGTTGCAGTATCTAGTTAGCAGCATTTCAAGTTTTGAATTAAGTTAGAAAATTTTGATAAAAACTATAAATTGTTACCAACCATGATCAGTACATTTAAAATAGGAAATGTCAAGTAGTTTCAGTCCATGCATTCCTGGAAATGAAATTTCTTTAATATTGATACCACTAAATTTTTTTTATTCCCTTGTATATTTTAATAGAATATAATAAACATAGAAAAAGAATCAGATTAATGTTAACAAAACTAAAATTACCTATTTTTTTTTCGTAATTTCTATTAGGATCATTCTTGGATTTTTGCCCCTGCTTAACTCAGTTTAGCTGAAGGACAAGGAAAACTAAACGGTCGTCTCAAAAATTTTGAAAATACAAAATGGGAGCAGTTTTATGTTGTAAAGGCGGGATTAATGACTAGAAGATTATGATATTAGAGAAATTAATCTTTTTTTCCCCAACATTCTCTTAACAATTGGATTGCACTTTTTCTGAATAAATTATTTATTTTTGCTTATTAACATGCATTTAAAATAAAAATTTATAAGTAAAAAAAAATTAAACTTTATGGACTACTAAATTTTGTTGAAGGAAAAAATTTTCATGAACTCAAAGCTTTTTTAAAATTTTTGTCATTAAAAATCAGTTCCTTGTATAAGAAAAACTAATTGCCATATTAATTTTTCTTTTCTTTTATATTATTAACATATAGAAATCAAATCAATACTAAAATAACAGATGAATATAGTATGAGAGTTTCTTATTTACTCAATTTATTTTCTTAATTTTATTCTCTATAACTTTGTGTCTTCATTGTGGTATCTGTACAGAACATTATTTGGTTACATAAATTCTTGTAACTATTGTTATTCCATTTTAATTCACCGGTGTAATTTTTATTACTTTTCTATTATAACTAAAAGATTGTTTCTAAGTTTCATAATTATTACTGTGTTCTATTAATTAGAGAAGTACTAAAAGGAATTAGTAATCCTACTATTGGATAATAATTAAAGTTTACTATTGCTTTACCTTGTTTAAAAATTATGAAACAAAATCACTTATGAAATTACTTTGACAGATGAGAAGGCATGCGCCATGGAAAAAAAAAAAAGCATGTCACTGTTCTTATGATTTTTGAAACGCTTATATCAAATTTTAGTATGATTGCCACTTTAAAATCCTATTTTTATGTCTAAAATAATTAAGTTCTAGAGATTCTGATTTTGCTTTTTTTTGCCCAAAACATTTTTTAGACAAGTGAGAATGAACTGTCTTAAATTTGGTTATTTTATCGTGAGCTACATAAGTGTTTCTTGTCATAAATGTAATGATTTAAATTTATATACAATTACATAGTGTGTTTCATAATGTATTATTTATGCAATTTTTATGTATTCATGTGATTTATGTTTATGAATTTATAAAATAAAACATCTTGATACTTTTAAAATCAATAAAGATTTTGAAAAAAAGAAAATAAATCTTTTTTGTTTGTTAAAAGGAAATGTAGTATATTATGAAAAAATTTATAAGTTTTTTTGATCTCTGGTTTCCATTACGCATTTTCAAAAAGCCTTATATTATACATCTATATATATGCATAAGCATTTAATTAAAAATGAAAGGATAAACCTTTGTGTTAATGGAGGAGGGTTGACCAATTGTTTTTGGTTAAACTTTGCAGTCTTCAAAATTTTCACCTTCAAAGGTTAGGTCTATTGATTTAACTCCATTAAAGCCCTAAGTTTCATAATATATGTTGGTAAAGCAGTATATAATTGAGTATTATATTATTGGACTTTCCCAATATAGTGCCAACACGTCTCATTTGTTATTGCCTGATATTCCCTACACAGATATTTTCTAAGATTAAGGGTTATAGCCTGGATAATAAGGTGGATTGTAGGCTTAAGTATTTAATTCACTATGATCAATTAGACCCAGTTTTAGCCTGGTCAAAGGAGGAGAAAGTTTCAGCACCGTTAGGTTTTAACAAAATTGGATTGTTTTATCGTTAATTCTTGTTTTATATGAACTTATACATATTTAAACTAAGGGATTATTAAACATGTATTTTTTGCTGGGAAGCCTTTAAAAATGAGATGAAAATCTTATATTTTTATTTGTGCAACTTTTTTTCATTGTTGCTACTGCATGCAGTTTTATCTGCAATATGGGGTTAGAGTAACATTCTTCTACATCAGAAGAAAAATATTTTAATTTTAATCATGTCAATTCCTTCAGCGGAGCCAAACATTGGAAAACTTAATAATCATTTATATTTTTAAGCTCAATAATTTAGTTTATCATGTAATCACTGCTCAAGGAAGAAGAAA